ACACATACACATACACATGCATACATCTAAATATGCATGCATACATACATTGAAGATTTACATACAAAAGGTAGATAACACACACCCAAAATTGCATTCCCGTTAGCAGCAATAGCCACGTTATATTTTTCGTGTGGAATAATTCAAAACGTCACTCTAACGATTCAGGCTGCTACATGTGAGCTTTAGATCTGTCAGGTAGAGGGCTGGGCCTGTGGGGAACTAGGGCTTCAAGGGCGTACAGTCCTTCATCCCAAACCCTAAGCCGCAAACGGCTTTGTCAGTGTTAACGGTTGATGCGATGGAGCCAGTGCCTTGTCGTCCTGGGCTTGCAACTGGGTCCTCCGCAACGTGGATTTCGCTTGTGCAGACTCTGAGCGGGCGGAAAGGCTTTTGGCTCGAATTGTTTTTGTAGTGGGGAGGGTTATCTGCTGCCATGGACATGCGTCTGTGGCTTCTGCCCCTGACTCTTCTCCTGGTGGTTCTCACCGAGACGGCGCCCGCAAGCTATACAGGCACAAAAGGTTGTGGCAGTACAGATGGTGGCGATGCAAGTGCCCCCCCCCCCCCCCCGAGTACAGTATTACACAAGTTTTGCAAACCATGGAGAGTCTTGCGCCTGACATACATGCCCCCATGAAGACACTGCGTAACGTGCTGGAATGCATTCTTTTGCTCATGGCCCGCGATGATGGTAGTGCGGAACCACCGAGTGATGGTTGGGTGGGCATGGGCAATGCAGTAGATGAGCATCTCAGTCGGGTGCGGCAGTTTGTGGACATCGAAGTGACCATAGTGCTGATGCAGCATCGAGTGAGCGGTCGTCTTACGGATGTGCTGCGGCAGCGGGCAGTACGACTGTTCATGGAGTGCTGTGGCATTGACGCTACAAGCAATCAGCCTACAGGACGGTGCAGCTCACATAGATACCTTCTACATGTGTCCTCCTGCAGTTACAGGGCGTGGCTCTCGTTCTTGATGGTTGATGACGATAGTGGATTGTGGGCACAGTCGGGGCTCTGGAACTCAATGATCTCTTATCAGGATGTGCTGCAGCTCCGGATTGAGGCGCTTCCTTCGCCAGGAAAGATCACGATCATGATAGGGCGGGGTTCGCTGGACACATCCACAGGTGTGAAGGGGTTGCTGATGCGCTGCCACAGTCGACTGGGTGATACTGGGTGCGAGATGTTCGCCTCGCCCGTGGCCACTTCAGGCTTTGGCACATACAGATGAGGAGCTTGTCCCAAACGATTGTGCTGGCTACCCGGGGCAGGGACCTGATGATATAAGGTTGGTATATCTCCGAAGATGCTTGAAAGAAACACTTCTGGAGAGAAGCATCCCTCCACGGATTGGGCCAAGAATCGGCGTGGGCAATTGCGTTGCTGTGCGCTTGCACTGTTGCTGAGAGTCGCTTGGTGCATGATGCTGCTTCTCCGGCGGTGCCTCTGCTCGCGCCATGCACAGTGCTGGGTCACTACCAAGGTCTGTCATGGCACTTGCGTTCGAAGGCAATGGCCCTGGAAAGCAAACTCGGGCCCAGGTGATGCAATGCAGAGGCGACGTTCTGCCGCCCAGGCTCACTGTGCCGTGCTTGATAAGGGTAGATATAGGAATGGTTTCTCGAAGTGACAAGGCGTCTTCGCCTCGCTTGGCTGTTGCATCCTGCTCCGGAGTAAGTACACCATGTAAGCCATTTGCTCTCCAAGCCGAACCCGCACAACTTGTCCAGAGCCAGCCCCGGTCCCATACCCGGGGGCTGCAGCACAGGCACACGGCGTCCAGGATGTTGCTGGCTCAGGTTCATCGCCTGCTAATTCTCCAGGTACTGGAGATGTGTCGCATGGCGTGACACATATCAGCGAATCATTAGAACAAGTTGTGATAGTGACACACCAGACACACATGTTGAATCACGAAGCCCGCGCGCCTACATTCAGAAAACGATCTTATCTGTGCCTTCAATCGTGTGCGACAACACGGTCAATCTTGGTAGGGGGGCAGACTACACACCATGCAGTGCCACTCTCGGTGATCCTCTGATGGGGTCCGTTGATGCTCCTGATGTGGAGACTCCGTGCCGGCAACGCCAGCAGCCCAGAACACACATCAAAAATCATTGGAGGGTTCTGTGAAAGAACACTGGCGGGCTTAGCTCCGCAAAGTTTACCGAGATTGAGTTGTGGCTTGAAGGGCAAAAACAACAAGGAATGCTGGTACAAGTAATGGCCATTCAAGAAACTCACTGGAGCTTCGCCAGTGAGTGGAAGGGGGATGAGTACTGGTGCATCCATAGTGTTACTGGGACCCGACCGGGAGGGATCCTTCTGATGCTTCATCGTAGCTTTTGTCAGCGACGACCAAATTAGGGTTGTTCATGTGGTGCCTGGCAGGTTGATGCATATCAGGCTTTCTTTTCAGCCGGCGCTAGAAATTAATTAAATTATCACCCTGTGCCGACACTGCTGGCAGCGTTCAGGCCTTCCCGGACTACTCACCAGGATCTTGGCGTCATTCTAAAGGACAAGCGTGAGAGAGTCCGGGAGAGACCCCAGCAGATCTTGAACAGGGCCGAATAGGGTCCCCTGGCGCAGTTTGGTCGTTGTTTGGGGGAACGTTAACACGGGATGCAGACCAGATATTCCCTTCATAGGACCTGGAGTGGTTAAGGCTGACAAGCCAGTACCTCAGATAGGCTATTGCAGGCTCAAGGGCATTTTGCACAGATTCGGCCTCACAACGCTCAACAGCTGGTAGTTGCGCTACATTTCTTAGCCCGACGAAGGCCAAAAGCCAAGCAACAAGCCATCGAGATGGGCCTCTACGACGAGTTCAAGGGCTTCCCGGGATGCCAAGGACAAGAAGGCCTAGGTCGACGAGAGCAAGGACCCGCTGCCGCTGGACATGTTGCTCGAGCTAGCGGCAGAGCTGATGAAGCTGGCGGTGGGCAACGGGGTGGTAACCGGATACCACTGCACGCGCCACTCGATGGAGGAAATGCAAGGCAAGATGACAACATGACTGATGGAGGTGGGTTGCGAGACTGCCGCAGCAACTGCATTTGGGAGACCCTCTCCGTGATGAAGGGCAATGCTTCGTTGAAGCTGATCGGGCAATACTTCGTTGAAGCTGATCGGGGGGCCATTCGCCAAGAACGCCTACAGAGAACGCTGCTCGCATAGGCGCTGGCCCAGCAGCTGATGAGGCAGTCCGTAGACAACCGCTTCAGCTTAAACTGCAAAAGCCTTGAACTTCTGTTGCTTGCATGCTTGCTTACTCGCCTATGTATGGACAGCGACAGCATTCGGACCGCTCAGACAGGCAGTGAAGCATCAGGCATTCCTTCAGGTGCTTCAGACAATCCTGTCGGCAACTCGGCCGGTCAATCTGTGGAGCAAGATTCAGTGGAGACAAACCTTTCAGGGCGTGGTGCCAGCCAGGTCCGCAGCAGGATGTTGCGGATTTGTTACTCGCGCTGGATAGCCAAGGGGGCCGGAATGGTTCACACTTCTTACTGCCTCCAGGCCATGATTATTCACATAGAGGAGTCGATGCATGCGGGGCACTATCGGTCTGTCCTGGTGACGGGCGACAGACGGTGGTACTACACGAGTGACAATGCAGAAGCTGTGCTCGTTCATAGGGACATTGATTGCCAAGAGATCGGTCAAAATGCTTACGTCGCTTTCTATATTCTATGCTTGCAAGTGATTCGTGGTCCAACGTGAAGCCCAGGATTGTGGTGTCACCACGCTGAGCAATGCCACAGCTCAGGGTGGGATTGTGGTTTACCCGCACCATCCTCAAATCTTTAAATACACTTTTTCACGCCTGACTCGTGAGGGAGTTGGTTTTTTCCTGTAGGTTGCTCATGGGCTCTTCGGAGCGGTCCTACAGTGTTGCAGGTCACTAGGCCAGGTGGTAGTCACCAGGAAACTGTGTTGCTAACAGGTCTCTACAATGGGACTCAGCGCACCGAGTGCTGCGCTTGAAGTGAGGAAAAGTCAGTGGACGGAACAAAACGTTCAAAAACGAAGCGCTGAGAGCTTAGCCCTGTACCCGCGCATCCCCAAATCCTATGCATAAAAGTGTGAGATACATCTGGTAAGCCCCACAAAAGTTGCCCTCTAAGCCCTTTTTGTGTACAAAACCCCGAAAAAGCATTTATAAAACTCTCATAGACACGGAAGATTTCGGTTCCCCAACAAGGACCCAACCTCCCTAGAGGCTGCTGAGCTGGTGCGCAACAAGCAGCGCGTGGCGCTCTTTGCGAACCCTCTAGGCAAGGCGTGCTTCGAGCTGGACAAGGCGCCGGGTTCAGGGGCAGGGTTTGGGGTTTGGAGTGTGGGGTTTGTGGCGAATGGTTTGGGGTTTTCGGGTTGAGGGTAAAACTTTGGGGCATTTTCGGGGGTCGGCGGGCTGTAGGGCGTTTCAGGCTGCAGCCTTTTTAGGCTGTAGCGTTCCGGGTGTTGCAGGGCTCGAGCGAGATCAATATGTTGCGGGCTTGGTTGCTGTTGAAGATACCCGAAGAATAGAAGTTGTACTAACAAAAGCACCAGCATGTAGAAGATCAGCTGGTTCAATCGCAACATACTCCTATACTCCTATACTCTACTTCTTCTCCTATTACCACTACTACTACTGCTGCTGCTGCTGCTACTACTATTATTACTACTACTACTACTACTACTACTACTACTACTTCGGCTACTACTATCGCTACCACTGCTGCGGGTGCTTCCTGTTACTGGTGCTGCTACTGCTGCTGCTAGTGCTACTGCTTCTACTGCCACCACCACAACCACAACAACTACTGCTGCTACTACTGCTGCTACTACTGCTACTACTGCTGCTACTGCTGCTACTACTACCACCACTGCTGTTGCTGCTGCTGCTGCTGCTCCTACTACTACTACTACTACTACTAGTGCTACTACTACTCATTAATATAGAACTAATTGTAATGGTACTGTTAATGGCAGCAGAAGCAACACTTGCAAACTTAGCAACTTCGTGTTCTTGTCATGGTTGTTCTTCTTCTCCTATTATTATTAATCTGATTATTGTTATTACTCCTAGTAGGTCCCAGTATTAGTGTTAACTTGTTTAGTGAAAATACGATTAACCGAGATTTTACCACCATCATTGCCACCTTCATCAGCAGCAGCATCATTATTATGATGATATTTGTGTCCGAGCCTCCACCAGCGCCTTGCTCTCTTGCCCACTCCCTACAGTCATAACATCGTTGAACTTTGAAGGAAATGTTGTCCAGGGAGGTAGATTCACAGAGTATTCCAGGAACCAACAAAAGAGAGGCCGAAGGCCTCAAGCCTAAGCCCGGCAGGCACAAGTCCGGGCTTGCCTGGATGATCTGCGAAAGCACGATTTGCTTGAGCCTGGCCTCGTCTACGTGTCGGAGGCATTGAATGGAGCCCTAGTTGATCTCAATGTCATTATTCTTAGTTCTATACAACGGACAGACAGACAGACAGAGAGATAGATAGATCGATAGAGCGATAGAGCGATAGACCGATAGATCGACAGATAGATGTTTGAAGAAGAGAGAGAGAGAGCGCGAGAGAGAGAGAGAGAGAGAGAGAGAGAGAAAGAGAGAGAGAGAGAGGCAAAGGGGGCTTGCTCCCTTTGTCCCTAGCCCTGGCGAAAGAAGAAGAGGGAATCTAGTTGAGAGAGGTGGTCCAGTTGAGATCAGGATCCCAGATGTTTGGGCTTTCAGGCTTGGGTTTAGGCCAACGCTTGTGAGTTAGGGTCAGAAGCAGCATGGCAGTGGCCTTGAAACCTCCAAGAGATTGCAGTTTCAACTACGGCCAAGAACACAAGATACCTCAACAGCTACATACGCTTACAGCTACAAGCCTCCGCCCTGCAAGCATTACGTAGAACTCTCTAGGATGCTTGGTACCTCAGCTAAGCCCGATGCCCCAAAACTCAAAGAAAACCTCCCCTCGACAAGTTTAAGCATTATCTTGAGATTGGGAGTTTCGAGCTTGTGTGTCCTAAACTGTGGCATCCTCCTGTGAGCAGACATGGCTTAGCCCCGACTCACTTCAACCTTAAGCCATAAAGCCCGCCTGAAGCTCAAACCATCTTACATGCTTAGGCCTTCTCCTAAGCCTTATCCATTTCGATGCACCAAACCCTCAGCATGACCCTAGACCTAAGCCTCGACATACTCAAGCAATGCAGGAGGCAAAAGCATCCATCCGAAATCCTCAGCCATCCCTCTGGAACCCATGTCATCTACACAGGTAAGCCCTGAACCCTGAGCCAACCCGAGACCCTAAAGCCCCAAGGCCTGGGTACTACCGACCTCGAGCTTTCATAGCCCTCGTCCTTTTTTGAGACCTGAACTCTCCATCACTTCAAAACCCTAATCCATCCTGAACCGCCATGCAACCCTCAAAACGAAAATACCCTACCCCAAATCCTCCCAAACCCGCCGCAAACCCCGAAGTCCCAAACCCTAAATCCCAACCGCCCCAACCCTATACTTCGCCCCTGTCCAAAGCGCGAAGAGGTGCGGCCTCTGAGCGATGCGCAGGCACTCTCCTCCAAGGAGCTTCTCGCCTCAGAGGGTTTTCCAAGGTTCCAGGGAGAGGGGGGGCTTGGGGTTAAGGGTTCTTAAGGTTTAGGGGAGAACAGGTCTAGGGGTGCCTTGTTTTTTGTTTTTTTGTTGAGGGGTTTCAGGCTTAACCTAAGGGGTGAGGAACGAGGGGACTGTGGAGGGTTTGAGGTCAGGGCATGGATGAGTTGTTTGTTTGTTTTTGTTTCTTTTTGAGGTGGCGGGCGGCGCGGTGAGGTTAGCTTTCTCATGGGTTGATTGATTTTTGAGGAATGTGGGATGTTGTCAGAAGTTGGGTGGGTGTTGGGTTTTGGCGCGAGGGGTGGAAGGCTCAGGGTTAGGATTGAGGGTTGGGGCGCTTGTGTCACGGTAGGTCTTGGTTTTTCGGGTGCAAAACCTACACAACAGAAGTGTGGAGCCTTGCCTGCCTGGTGCGAGTGTGAGAGTCGAAACAACAGAAGCACTTGTTTCTCAGCCATTGTCGGAAACCCGCTCCGGAAGTCTTGAAACCCTAGACTTTGTTTATTGAGTGGAACTCAAGGCTTGGAGTTGGATCTCGCAGCCTCATAGGGGTCTGAATTCTTAGCAAGAGTGCCCCCCAAAGTGTTATAGCCATAGCAGTTGTGCCAAACTATACCCAGACTATGCCATGCTATGCCATACACAGAGACCCCGTTGTGACTAGCACGGCCCCTATAGCCCCTCTGTGAAGAGGGTCTGGAGGGTGCAAGATGCCACAGTAGAGGATTGGGTTAGGGGTTTAGGGTTGGCTTGTGTAGTTCTTCTTGAGCGCAGAAACATGACACCACCCTGTTTAAGCCAAGAGGTCGCAAAGCCACATCTGGGCCCTCGGTTCCATCAGCAAGCACTGCGCGATTCAACTAAGGTGGAAAGCATTTCAATTAGCACCTCGGTCGCAACCCTATGGGACCCCTTCCTTAGGGCTTCAGGATCTGTTGAGAGATATCTAAGATTCTTTGTACGGACAGAGAATGTGGACCTATGGTTGGGTCACTGCAGCTCTTTTGTTTGGTTGGTGTGTATGCATCAGGCAAACTTATGTCGTAGTTTTGCAAGATGCATTCCTCGAGTCAGTGCAGTTTTCAGGAGATCGTGTGATCTTTCGCCACGGGTGGGTCAATCTCCTGGTGCATCCCGCCCCGTCATGATCCCCCTAGTGCGGTCTGAGTATTCCTGGGTTTCTTTGGGTTGTTGGTATCTTATTCCGGATCCCCTTGCAACGCGACGGGAGTAGCCAGGAATTACACGCAGGGCTACTGAGCTAAGTTGGCATGGCTTACAGGAGCCGCGTGTCGACCCGGTATTAAGGACTTCCTTCTTAGTAGGTCGGTCGTATGTATTTGCGGACTTTGTGGTCGCATCGCTGGTATCTTCTTTGTCTTTCACCCAGCCGACCTTACTGAACAAAAAGAAGCCGCATTGATGGACTCCAAACACCCGAGGAGATTGGCTGCCAGCCTCTCCTGATGGTATGCCTGGCCTGTGGCCGAGAGCTAGAACGGCTCAGAGAAGCTCGGCGCAGTTGGAGGGCCTAGGGCCTAGAGCCCGTAGTTCCCAGGGTTCGGGAATCAGAGCTTCAAGTTGTGTCAAAGATTTGATAGTGGACATATCTATACACAAACGCAATGTACCGAGGTGTTTGCGTATTGTACCAGACTGTTTGTGAGCTTCACGACGTTCCGCTGTTGTTTTTCGGACTGGAAGCAACGGCTACCGACTTTCCCTTCCATCGACGTCTTTGCCTTCGTCGATGTCATACTAGGCTGTAGTTGACTGGACGGCACCAGTCACCATCGGCATGTTTCACGACAGCATGGAGCATTCAACAGTCAAAAAGTCGTGAAGTGTAAAGCGGCACCAGCTCCGCAAGCCCTAAAGCCTTGTTGATCTGAACCCTTTCTACCCTAAACCCCTAAATCCCTATTCCCCTACACTGCCCTACACCTCGTTTACAGGCCGAGGGAGCTGGAGCACAGAAAGAGAAAGCAGTGCAGATGCTGGCTGGCACTTTGGCTGAACCGCTTTGTCCTGGGAGAATAGTATTACGACAGGGTTCCCATACCATAGAAACCTACAGTGCTAGTTCTTCCGGGGCTAGATCAGGGTTGAGGGTTGGGGCTCCGGAATGTTATGTTTCAGGTCGCTAGGTCGCCTCGGATCAGTGATCAGCGAGGGCTCCCTCACAGCAAGAGCTTGATCAAGCATCAAATCGCTGCCTGGCAAAGCACTTTCACCATGAATTGGATACATCGAAAGTAATCAGTTACAGACGACTTTCCCTTTGCCTTGTAGTCTCTTCGTTGGACCGCGTCCCGACCAAAGCTTAAGCTCGAAAGCACCCCAGACTGCTTGACGCAGCGCAGGTGAGATTATCGGCCTCCTGGTAGAATCCGGGGCGGACCCTGGCCTAGTCGACGTCGGCCCGCTGGAAAACACGGCCCTCCACCTGGCAGCGAGGTTGGAGCTTCGGTCTGCGAGCAGCCTACTCCTTCGCTTGAACCTTGAAAGGGTTGCTCCTAAGTGTCTGGAATGTTTACGCGAGGGTGTGCGTTTGGCATGTGCATTTAAGGGAGTTGATTTGGAGGCAGAAGGATTGGCGTCGACCAATAGGGCTCGGCGGTTTTGCATTTCGACAGTAGGTTTGTTTTGAGACGGTCCGAACGGCTGGAGCAGGTACGGTGCCGCCAAGCTCATCAGCTTTCTGCTATCCTTGGGCACGAACCCCACTTCGCTGCCACCTCTCCGCATCAACGGAGTTTCGAGTTCTGGGTTGGGCTCGTAGGATTAGACCCCGGGAGTTTTTTATTCAAGCATGGGTTGTTTGAGATGGATTGTAAGCATCTGCTTTTCCGACCATATCATGTGGCGCTGGCCTAGGGTTGGAGGTTTAGAAGTTTTCCTACTCCTGCTCCTCCTGCTGCTGATGGTGCTGTTTCTGCTGCTGTGGTTGCTGATCTCTCCTTGTAGTTTCACAAAATTCACCCCCCCAAAAAGCATTGCGATAATGAGGAGTCACACATGCGACTGGCGATGTGCAGAGGGTGGCATGGAACTTCTTCTGTTCTGCGTCCAAGGAACGCAGACGGATGCACGGCCGAAGTTGTGGCTTCCAGATGTGGGCAGGTCCTGTGCCAGCAGATTTTACAGGCCAGGCACCCTCTGTTTCTGAACCACACCTTCGGGTCGGCGGGGATCGGGCCAGAGGGAAGCACTCGCCTTCAGATCTTCTGTGCCCTTGCTGCAGGTGGTGGTCGCGAACATGGGAAACCATGCTGACGAGGATAGCGGCCGAGAACAGATCCGAGTTGGTTGGCAGGGTGGCATGCTCACACGAAGTCTTCAAAAACCCAACGACCCAGCGTAAACGCAAAAGGCACTATCAGAAAGCAGAGCTGGCGACCCGGAATCCACAGATCTCGACCTTCAGGCTTTTGGCTTCCCGTCAGTGCCTCGAAAGCCCCTCCGAATCTAGGAGCCTGAGCAACTACCAATATCATTCCTTAGGGTTCCTCTTTTTATTATGGCTATCCGACACATATTGCCCCATAGCCTTATTCTACTTGTTTGAGGGTCCTACATTTCTGAGTACCTCGAGATCCGAGCCGCTGGCCGTGGCAGGAGTTGCTGGACAGCAGCCCCGGCAGCCGACAACAACGCAAGCAGAAGTGGAAAGCAAGTGCCTCGCTTTCAACAGACTTTGGTTTCGGGTTTACGGCTTTGGGCCATATGGAGCGGGTCCACTGCGCAATCCACGCCTTGGTTCCTGGCATATGCATAGCCCAGGCGTGTAAAGGTCAGGTGACCGTAGCAAGCCAGCCGTCCAGAAGCACCACTTAGAGCGGCAGCTGCTTGTTGTGCATGGCGCAACATAAAAAACCGAACACGCAGCTTAAAACCTCAAAGAACACTACGAAACCCGACAACCGCAAACCCAAGCATAAACCTTATAGTATCCCTTGTAGCAAGCCTTGTAGTAGCCTGAAAGTAAGCTCTCTAGTACACCTAAGTCCTAAACCCTAAACCCTAAAGGCCCTAAATACCGGAGGAAAGCAGAGCAGGGGGCGGAGCGACAAGCAAAGCGAGGTCCTTTGTGGGATTTCGCAGTGGTTTGGGATTTTCCAAGGGTTGTATAGGGTCTTAGGAAGGTTTGTAAGGATTCGCAAAGGATTTGTATAGGGTTTTGGAAGGGCCTTGTAGGGATTGGGAAGGGCAGTTTTTAGGATCCGTATAGGGTTTCTTAACGGTTTTTGGCAGGGCTGTGTAAAGATGTGTTAGAGTTTTAGAGTGTTTGAGAAAGGGCCTTGTAAGAATTCCTTTTTGGGAGTCCGGGGGTTTCAGAGAGGAGCTTTGCAGGGTTTTACATAGTTTTGGTAGGAGAGGCTTTCGGGCCAAGGCATGGGTGTCGTAGGAGTTTCTTTGGGCACTGGGGGCTCTTCGGCTTTGAGGTGTCGGGTTTGGGAGCTTGGGTGGAGGGCCCGGCGCTGAGGGGTTGGGAATTTGGGTTTTCAGGCCGGGGGTTCGGGCTTCGGGGTGGAGAGTGGGATTCAGAAAGTCCCATGCACCAGGTGGAAGAGGTGGAGATCCACGAAGACGATGATGAGCAGCTTGGCAGTCACTACTTCAAGGTCACGCTATTTTGAGGGCTCCGGATTCGGTCCGCAATTTTCGTTTCGGGTTTCGCACTCGGGCTCAACGGGCCCGAAGTCTGCAGCCTTCAGCCCAAAACCCGAAGCCCTAAACCCCCAACCCTCCTAACCAGGACCCTAGCTTCACCGGCTAAAACCTGCTTGCTTGTTGCAGAGTCTTAGTACAAATCCCTTCATGGCACTTATAGAGACCCTACAGAAAAGTAGGTTCTGGTGGGTTAAGATA